AGACCAACAACAGAGCAAAAAGACAATCATCATGTGGACAAAAACACCACTCCAAACGAATGCTAATGTTGATCTGTAACTGCTGAATGTGTGAAAAGGCAACTGATTTCTAGTTTGCCACATCAACCTTAAAAGGTGATACGTCCATGTTGTGTTCACAACTTGTTTCTGCCCCTAAGAGGCAAACAAACAAATAACAAATCAGTTATTGCAGCTTTGTCCAGGTAGTAATTGCACCTGAATCAAACCAAACCTTAACCATAGTAGCAGATCCAAAAACTGGTATATAAATCATGTTTGTAATGGCAACGACAAACAATATGTTTTGTCATTTAATTAGAAGGAGTCTTTGGCTTTTGAGCATACATTGTGTTGTTATTTTCATAAAGCAGCAGTTTGTGTTGATGGAGGTGTATTCAGAGTTTCGCTGGCCTCCAACACATTCCTTCACCGGTTCGTAGAAAGACAGCACAGACAGAGTTGGTCACTTTCCCTTTGGTAAATGAGTCTCTATGCCTTATTCAGATGAGACAAAGGGAAAGGACAAATAAGACTATTTAATACCACAATGCAGAACACAAAGTGGATTATCACTCATGTTGTAGCAAACTGAGACCATACATAAGAGGATAGAAATGTCAACGCAAAGCTTAAAGATGGAGATCAGAAATCCAACTCCCCTACAGCCACCGAGTTATCTTGTAATCAATAAGCTCCGATGAAGCTGTCGCCCCAGCACTTTATAGAATGACTATGCAAGTGGAATTTTTTAGATCGGTCCATTATGTTTAATTGACTCTGTCCTGTCCCTCTTCACTGACAGTCAGTTATTATGATTGAGGAATAATCAATGATGTATCCCGTAGTTGTGCCGTAGAGTGCTGAGGTCTGCAGGGCACTGGTTCACTTTAAGATTGTTCACCTGAGGATTGAACTACATTGTTCTCTCATTTGGAGCTAATAAAGACAATGATATGAGAGAAGAATAAGTCCGACACAATCACAGTTACAGTCTTGATTTAATCTTTCAGATTAATGGCCATGATGTAAAATAAAAACTTGTGAATGAGGCTCCTAAAAAAAGGAGAACTTTCTTTTTCAATTCAGAAAGTGCACATGTTTCACATTTTGATCCTCGTTTTAGCGAAGCCGATCACACTGCGGATGCTTCCTTCCTCATTTTGAGGAAACATTTCTGCTTTTCATTGAGAAGGAATTCTAATGTTTCATTCACCAAATCCAGTAAATACATTCCTGTTTAATTCAATATCAGCTGACTCAGCTGCTTGGTGGATTAACCATGTAAAATGCTATACGTTTTAAGATGTGTTACTACAAACCATTACTACATGCTCATTTTCTTCATTTTCCTCTTCATTTACTGTTGTATTATCATCAAGCACATTCATTACAAACACACTAACTAATAAAAAGAGTCCTTCTGTAATACATGTAACATTTGAACCAACACTACAAAGGTGAGGAAGTGCAGATTAGGGCTAACTTTCTGAAGCTTTATTTTCAAAGATCATAACACTGTATATTTATAGGGTTAATAATGATAGTTGATTGATAACAATGACAAAGATTTCCTCACCAGGTGCTGAGATTCACAGATGTTAAAACTGAGAACTGATATATATTTTACCTTAACTCGACTGTTTTTGTTATAATGAATGTTATAATGAATATTTGCCCTACATAACTAGCTGCTGTGTTACCAGATCATCTAAAACACTGTGTCTGAGAAACCTTAATCCCACACACAAACACAGATGTGTGGGGATTTTCTTTCTATTTTGTCTTAGTTATCAAACGATCCTACATTTTGCACAGCAGAGCTCAGAAATACTGTCATCATAAGAGAACAATAGGACACAGACATGGATTTTTATGAGGAACTAAGCTTTGGGCATCATGAAGGCTTGTTTTTAATTAATTTCTAAAGGTCTTGATATTGGAACAGCAACACAATTAATACTCAGGATCTTTGCATTTTGGTGCCATTGTTTACTCTAAATTAATTTGGTTTCGGAGTCACTGAAAACACTGAAAAATGATCACTGGTGGTTGTATAATCAAATACTGTTTGTCTGGTAAAGTAGGCTACATACTATTATAGATGACTTACTGCCTCTTTACATTAAGTGATTTAAAAATATGTATTGTTGTAATATATATAGCAAGTATTAGTGTAAAACATTCAGTAAGTATGAATGATAATACAAAGCAAATAAAGGACAGTCAGAACAAATCTATTTCCACTTGTGTCTTGTGGGACAACTGGCAACCTTGTTTCACTGGCAGCGAGGAACCTGATTCTTAGTCTTTTTGGTTATTTGGCAGCTTTTTATTGAGCTACAAGTAAGTGAAGAAACCTCCCTTCTTAGTTTGTAGTAAATCAGATATTAAATTTAGAAAGGAATGCATTTGTACTTGCAAAGTAGTTTTATCTTTTATACTGTCTGAATTGTGTAAATACAAGTTGAGACTTGTAACTAAAAGAATGGAACGGGCAAGGTCAAATGACCAAATTTGGGTGAAGGATGATCGGAAATGTGCGGTGGAAAGCCTTCTTCCTTCCCCTTTTCTCGCCCTGCACTGACCATAACTGTCAGCACCAGAAAAAGGAGGGATAGAAAGAAAGAAAGAAAGAAAGAAAGATGACACTTTGGTTAGAGTGAAGAGCACATGATGCTGCCTTTACATTATTGCTGAAATCAGCATGATTTGTAAAAAGAATCATTTAAAACACCATAAGAAAGAGGCATCATAGTAAACTTGATTGTTAACTGTCCAAACAGAATCATATCAATCCATCCATTCAATGTATTTATCCGTTCTCTAGTCTGCCTTCTTCAGAGCCCTGGATTGTGTCAGAGCGGGAAGAAACACCCAGAGAAAACAAACACGAACATAGTACAAGTATGCAAACTCCACAAAGAATAAATACAAGAATATCCAATACAGGCTAAACCTGTTGAAAATCTATAATATTAGTTTATTTGTACATTAATGCATTTCAATTAACTGTTAGTTACGAATAGTAATAAAAAAAAGTGATAAAAGCCAGTACTTAAAAATGGATACAACTGTAGCCTTAATCTGAGTAAACGTCTTAGTCAGCTCAGTCAATGTCATGATGAAATCACAAAAACGGAAACGGTCGACTACAGCATCACCCAAGTGCGTCTCTCATACTCACCCAGTATGTAGAAAGCCCTAAGATACGATTCATCCGGTTAGGTTTCCCTGGTTCCTCTTTTCACGGTATAAATCAGAGGTCTGGTCAGAGGAGATCACTTGCCTCCATTAGCCAGATCAAACAATCAGCTTCTGCAAAGAACCTCTGGAACATCTCACGCAGAAACCATGCAGTTGTGCATCAGAAGACTGGCATGCCTGGCTCTCCTCGCCGGGGTTCTGGCAATGACGGCATCGGCATCCGGTAAGTCTCCTGTCAGAGATCCTGTACCACTTTACACAAGTAGTGTATAGTGGTACATATAAGACCTTGTACCCTTGCCATGCACAATTGACTTCTGATGAAAATTTAGGCCAACACCGTCGATATTTATTCATATTTCACGCTGCAAATGTAAGAGATGTATGCTCATCATAACAACCAATCCTTTGTTTGTTTTCTGAAAAACAGAAATTAAGGTAATCGAGTGCTGCAAGGTGGTCAGTGATGCGAATATCACGGCTCCCATCTTGGGCTACAGGGTCCAGAGGAAGAACCTCCCATGTGTCCGCGCAGTCATGTAAGAATCTCCTCCTTATTTTAATAAACAGAGAAGAGGGATGATCAAAAATGTTAACAGGTTCTTGGTGAAAATTGATTAGTAGATTGATCTTGTCTCTCTTTTTTTCCCTCCAAGATTCAAGACCACAGAGGGAGAAGTCTGCAGCCACTGGAGAGAAGAGTGGGTTTTTGAGAAGATCAAGGAGCTTGAGTGAGTCCTCTTAGAAAGTCTCCAGTAAAGACCATTTCTGCTAGTTGGTTACTTATGTTATACGTATGATTATCGGCAGCACGCACTGTTAATTTAACTGTTGTCTCCTGTTTGTGTGTCTTACAGGCAGATCCGCAAAGCAAAGAAGAACACTCCTCGTGCTCCCACAACCTCCAGCCTCTAGAAATATTATATCTATAGCTAATGTTATCGAGTTAATTTAAAAATATTTAAAATGATTATTCTGTAATATTTAATATTTATTAGCAGCGCTATTTATGTCTTTCCCTTTTCTTTATAATTTCCTATCTGTGTTATTTCAGCTAACATAAAGCTTACCTGATAAAAGAAACATAAAGTGTTCAAAGCAATCTAACTAAGAGGTCTGTTCAAAATAAATGTCCTTGTCCTCTATCCACACATGTCGTTGTTATTTGGTGAATTTGGAAATCAACAGTAGCTGTAGCTCATCAAATGATCATCAAGACCTCATGATGGAGCTGACACAGGCTCAGCTCTTTACAGATCAATTCCGCCATCTAGTGGGGAGGTGAAATGGCTTCAGGACCGTTTAGATAAGAAGAGCGTGTCATTGAGGGAGTCACCTTGTCTGACTGGAGCACCAGCCCCTTGGGGGTGCTGATCTGAAATAGCACTAGAGACTGCCTCCCTGTCAGTCAAGTCATGCATTTGTACGAGCTTGGGGGTCAGGACGGCTCATCAAAAAAGTTTTCAGACACCTTCCAGCAGATGTGCTGGCAGCAGCCTTCTCTAAGTACACCAGGCACACGTGTCACGCCACTCGAACATACGCCATGCAGAGCAGCAGGCTACTCTGTCCAGAAAATATACCTTTTAATGGTGTTAAAGGATGTCTGTCATCCAGAGTCAGGTTATTAAATGCTACTTGATGGTTGAAATCACTTTTGCTGAAAAACTGTTACCATTTTTTAAAATGTTTGAATGAAATTTGAACAGTATATTAGCCGTAAAGTTACATATGCGTGTTGTAGTTTAATGAAATAAATGTGAGCAACAATGTTGGAGTATTATGAAATAAATGTATTTGTTTGTGGGAATAGCATGTTTTAGTACATTAACTTGATTAAGCGGCAGATTCATAGCAGGCAATGAAACAGCAAAGTCACAAAAGCATTTAAAAACAGGAATGTTAACATTTGCTAAGAGGCTAAGCACATAATCTGCATCCATAGTCTCAAAGCTCTTCTTCTCAGGTTCCCCTTGGTTCATGATTACATGCACACTGCATATGTTTAGGCAACTCATTAGCATTTTCTTTCTCAGAAATAATATTCCCAACATGACTGGATTATAGAAGGTTCAATTTCTCTAAAACTTTCTCTCAAATTAGCATTTCTATAACAAATTATTTAATTCCAAAAGCCAAAACCTGATTTTTACTAATAGAAGCTTCCGGTGCTGTTCGGGAAGGGTTCTATGGTCCTGAAGAAAGCTCCACTTTTTCACATCGGAGTTTCACCTGCAGCAGAGCCGGTCTTGGACATCTTCTTCAGTTTTGAACTGTATAGAAATAAGAGCTTTTTACTCACAATGCTCCCAAAACAAAGGAAAGCCCCGGTTCACACACAAAGCTTGTCCTGATTTCAAGGTCCAAACTGAAACTAGTTGGTATTTAGAAGTGAGTAGGAGTCTCATACCTGAGTAGTTCCAGAATTCTCCTCACCCACTCATCTTTGCGTGTCGCACATATCTCATTCTTCTTAACAGTGTAGAAACTACAACAGTGAGAAACATCGTCAGACATAGAGAGCAGTACACTATGTTGTAATTCAGTGTATAGTATAGATATTATTTTTCATAATGGTGCACATTTGATAACTTGAGTTCCAGTTCTGATACATAATATATTTCTGATTGTTTTGAGAAAAGTTTTCTACAAAATATTTTTTGGGTTTGTTAAATCCATTGGTATTAGATTTAGTCTTACAGTGAGACAGTGCAGCTTTCCAGGAACTTTAAAATTAAATTAAGTCATTGCTTTTTTTTTTTTTTTTTACAATTCTATCGGTATACAAAACTATTGAGGTTTGATACCGAGCTCTGTTGTGTAATTGGATTTTTTTCAATCTTAAAGCCTAGACAGCTTGCATGCAAATCATTTATGAACATGATTTATGGAGATGTGGAGCAGATCAAACAGCTGCCTTTTTAGAGTCATGAAATCCACAGTAATTAGTTTTGACAGTAAAATATTGTGGTCGACTAGATCAATGGCTTATTTTCATGGCAATGAATTTTGCAGAAACAACATTGGTAATGCTTTCCAAAAAAACAATTACCAGTGTCTTTTGAATATTTGGGAATTAATCCAATCAATCCAATGAGTTGGTCTTCACCAACCCTCTCATAAAGGTTTGACAATGATATTCAAATGTCATTGTCAAACCCATTCAGATTGAGCCAGGCTTGGAGTTGTCATGGTTTAACAGGAGACAGTCTTACACGATCGCCTCGATGTGGCAGTTTTCCTCGGTGGTCTGTTCTCTGTAGCCCTTTATGCGCTGGAAGGGTACCGGCTTCCTATTGTATCTTGTACAACAGGCTTTGCCCGTACGGGACCCCACTGCGCACACACACATAAACACACGTCACATTATTAACTGATCAGTTAAGCATGGAGTCTTAATGTAATATCTACTGTATTTCAATCTGATTGACAAGCAGTCAAATGTGGTGAAATAAACTTACAGGCAGCTGGAGCTGGACCGAGCAAGGCCAGTACGAAGCAGAGGAGAACGGCTGTCACGATCACGCCTCTGGGAGCCATGCTGACGATGCAAAGAACCAGTAGAGAACTTACTGAGTACACAACCTCTGTACGTATATATACATATATATACTTATGGTAACACTCGTGTTTTTGTCACCTGTGCCTGCTAAATTGAGGACAGGAAGCCCACTATTGCATCATCGCAACCAAAGTAGCACACGTTGCACTTTGATCATACAAATTAAACCAACCAACAAACTACCATTATGCAACACCCAGATTTGTTTATGTGGGCGCTATTGCACCGATGCATTAGATTCATGCAATTTCCTAGCGCTTCTATCTATATGTATGCGTTTTTTGGGGTTCATAATCGTGCTGTGAAGTTCTTCATATACGACACAGCAGATTCTTATCATCACACTTTCTTCCCTTCATTTAGTTTTCTGAAAAGCTACAGCATACTGCTGCATATTTAGCTCTCTGTGCATACGCCTGCATAATTGCGCTTAAATGGAATTTGCTACACAAAATATTGCCCTCGTCTTGCTTCATATATTTTCCAGCGTTGACAAAAATGACTGTAATATCCATTGTCATAATTTGACATTGTGGCTTAAAGCTGGAGCCAGGGTGTTTTACATAATCAGCAATGTTAAGATTGTTTTGTGGTGAGAACTGATGGAGAATGAGAGGCTTGTCAACCCCCCCCCCTTCGTTAGCTTGACCTATTTAGTGTGCAGAAAGCCGACAACTCCAAATCCATCTCCGCTGACCTAGATAGGCACAACATCTTCACGTTGTAAACACTATAGCGTACTGTACATCACAAAATCAACATCTACAAGCTTTAAATGACTGGTTGTAAAAAGATCAACACCTCCTGCACATCAAAATACCGTGAACGCTTCATGAATGCTGCACAGTCACCATGAGTTTACAGTATGGGATTGGGTCTGGGTATTTTGCCAGCCAATACATAAACACTCAAATTAAACTGTGGCAAGAATATTTTCTTTGTACGCTATTCAGACGACTGAAGGGAAAATCTTTTTTTTTTTTTTGTTGCCCTTTTCATAAGGAATTCAAGAGTGTGACGGCCGGCAACAGATTCGGGCCACTGCAGCTGGTGGGGATTCAGTGTGTCTTGCTCAAGGGCACTTCAGAAAAGCGGATGCTGGAAACCATGCTGCCAGTTGAGTACAAGTCTCACCCACATGTAGCTATGATTAATAAGTGTGTATATTTGTTTATTCTCTCCTGTGCCCACAGACATTACGTAGAATGACTCAACAGCAGAGTAACTTTTCTCCCTTAGAATTAATGAGTCTAACGAGAATCCATGAGAATCAATTAGACAGTAACAAAATGAGCTGTGTTGACAATTTACTTTGTGTATAACAATGTTGATAAAGCATGTCCTTCAATGGAAATAACCGTGATAAGGGAACACGTATTATTTTCTCTGTGCCGATAGAATTGTCGGATTAGATTTATTAATTCTATACAGTCACACTTCTGTATTGGTTGTGTCTGTTCCAGGCATTTCGTCTGATCTCGTAAGCCTATTTAAGTGCTCTGAGCTTTGTCATTTCGTGACAGTTTCAGAGATCATGACTCATTATGTTCTCGTGATAACTTGTGCCCTCCTTGAAGCCTCCTCTGTCCTCCCACTTGCCAGTCAGGCCCACACATCTCAATTTAGCACATCACACACACACACACACACTCACGCCACGTTTGATGGTGTCCAGCAGCAGTTTGTGCTATACCGTCATCCATTGGGGGGCAGTGTTGTTTAGATCAAGCGTGACATGACAAATGGATGTGAAGTGAATGTCACACACAACCTGAATATCTGTCATAACATCAGCAGGGGACTGCTAGTTATATGTGAAATGCAAGTCAAGCTTATTCTTTCCTAAACTGTAGAATACGTTCCAGCGCTGCTGTGCACTGATGTCATTCAGCAGCAGAGAAACAAACCATTACTATGCTGTCACAGTGCAGGACAATGTTTTCACAAGTTCAGTTGCAGTTTTTACATCGTGGCTTCTAATCCATGCTCCTTCCGTGTGTTTGCGATCCGTTGCGACTGCTGATAAAGGAAAAGGTAACATGATAAACCGGACAATCGTCTGGTTTGACAGCTTAATCCTTGTTAATCCTCCGTAAAACACGGCCTCTTATCGTCATCTTGAGTTTCCTCACTGAAAGACTTCCAATGGTTATTTTCATTATTGATTCATTCAGTTGGTTTTTGATCATACTATTAATCATTTTAAATAAGACAATCACAGGAAAGTAATTGGGAATAATTTGATGATAATCTGTTAGTGGTTCAAGCGTTTGTATTAAACATAATGTCAATAATTCAGTTTTAGCTTCTTTAATGTGAAGATTTCACTTCTTTCCTCTGTTTCAGCTGCAGACTTCTGTGTAAACAATCAAAACAAACTATTTGCAAATGTCTCCTTGGGAAATAACTGGCTGACCAATGATGAACACAATGATTAGTTGCAGCCTTAAATCCTCAGTCTAAAAATAATACATACCTAAAAAAGGCAGAGCACGTGTTACTAAAGTTACTAAATTTATTTATTTTCTGCAGACTTTCAATTAACAAAGATTTTGAAAAGAAGCAGTAAACCCTCACATCTGAGAAGCCATATCCACAGAATGTTTTATTATCTTAACTTCGTAAATGACGGTGTAACACGCTGTAAACACACAACGTTGATCATTATTAGCTTGAGTGGCTAACATGTTAGCAAACTGTTGCCTATTAAACATCCTCATTAGCATTCATTCAAAGACCTCCGTAGAGCTGAGGGGGACTGACGAGTTCAGAGAGAAGTCGGTTTGTAACAACGAGCGACTCCTTTCAGATCAGCCATTATTTGACCTATTGTCAGGATAAAAACAATATTGAGTAGCGCAGCTTCAACAGTTACTGTCTTATCAAAATGGTCATTGGTTTATGTTCTGTTTACTTGTTACTGCTTCACAAGGAACACTTTGCAACCACTCTTCATGCTTTGTCTCATCAAACTGCCACTTCATGATCAAAGGCCAAAAAGCATTCTAATAGCCTTTTCTTATTACGCTGTGATTTTGGTTGATTTTAATTGCAACATTTTGACCAGTGCCTTTGCTTGAGGGTGGGTGCGAGACGGACTTTTTCTCCTCCTGGGCCCCTCTCCCTCTCTTTTTGGAATGGTGGACGGTGGGCAAGAAAAGAGGGAAGGGGAGGGAGGAGGAGGGAGGGTGAGGGTGAAGAGAGGGGGGTCACCATTGAGTTGTCCACCCACACAAGGCCCCCTCTGGTCACCTGCGTGGGTTTGGGGCAAAAGAAAGGCGAGGATGTGCGCACACACACACACACACACACACACACACACACACACACACACACAAACACACACACAGGCACACACAAAAAGAACAAAAACAACAGCTTTCTAACCCCAAATGTCAAATGTGGCAAAGGAGCTTGGAATAAAAGTGTTTTAAATTAGCGAGAAACTTCCTCAAAACAACAGAGAGGGGCATTGTCAGTATCCTTAAAAGCCCTTCACAACAGAGGAGAGTTTAGGCAGCGGGAAGATGAAAACACTCTTTAAGCACTTGGCTGTTGCATGATCTTCAAAAACATGCCGAGTTTATCATAATTAGCATTGTTCCAGAACGCCAAACCCGCGAGGCACGGAAAACAATGCACACTTCAATATTTTATTGAGGAGCTATGTTGAATTACTTGATGTATAATTATGTGAGCCCGGCAGATTCTGTCCTTGCCGTCTCCTCCTACATCCCATCTGCCCTGTGTGTCCAGAGTGTGGGTGACTGAAGTAGCTGCGGGGGGGGGGGAGGAAGATGAGGAATTATTGTGGAAAATTATAAGAAAACTTGTGATGTAACAGTCTGAATTGCACTTCTACTGTTCAAGCCGACGCTGTAACATCCACGGCCTCCAAAAGAATGAGTAGTAGAAGACGAAAAGAGGGGGAAATATAGACTTAAAGGACCTCTGTGACATTAGGAAGCGCTCAGAGGTATTTTAGTCTGGCAGAGCCAACTCTTGGGCAGGCGGACTCTGGAGAATACTGTGAGCCAGAAGAGATGAGAAGAACAGAGGGGAAGAGTGTATAGTGGTAGGAAGAGGAGTATTTTTAGGGTGGTCTGTTATCTTCGGAGGCAAGGGGCGTGCGGTATCACAACCGGGTCACATCGCCGAGGGGGGAAATAGCACGGGCTTTCCGCTGAGACGGCAGATAAGGAGGAACGGAACAATGAGATCTCTCTCTCTGGCTCTCCAACACGTGCTCACACGTCCACGAAGGCACACACTCAGAATCTGGTAACCACATCCACAGGAAGGACTCGCTGCAGCTTCGCTCTCGCACGTCCTCTCACAGATGCATTAAAACCCTCAGACACGTTCAAAGATCAGGTCTGAATGGAGCATCGGAGCTCCAAGGGGGGGCGACCTGAGAGTGTGTTATTGCTCCGCTGACTGACAGACAAAACCAACATTATCATAGAATCTCTTCACTCTAAACTGTTTAACTGTCTTTCTTGTGCTCTCTCTCTCTCTCTCTCTCTCTCTCTCTCTCTCTCTCTCTCTCTCTCTTTCAATCTCTCCCGTAAAGGATCCCTCTGAAGATGAATACGCCAGCAGAACAGATGGATGGAGAGAACATCTCATCACTCTGACACCATGTTTATGCAATCACACACAAACACACACAAACACAAACGAACTCCATGTGCACACACACACACACACACACACACACGTATACAAGCAGAAACAAGATGCTGATGGAGATTTCTTCAATCATCAAAGTGAGCGAATGATGCACGACACACACGTTTGGTGTTTTGGTGTTTTTGATGAAACCTTCTGTTCGCTTCTTCCTTTGTTTATACCGAACACACGCATGCATAAACACAGACGCACGTCCCCTCGCACACACACACATGAATTGAGTAATTCGAGCAGACTAGCAGCTGTTATGGAGCGAACTGAGTACCAACGGAACGCCTCTGACATGCTAATGACCCGACGAGTTCAACCGCACACACTCACACCTCACAGATTTAGAAAATCAG